AAACGTATAAGTTATGCGTGAATGTGAGAGGAAAACTATCGGAGTTGGCTTAATACACCCGGAGACTCACCTGGAACCCAGCTGAGTCCTTCGTTTATGATGTTTTCAAGCAACTCATTATGTTGCACCAGTCCACCTCAGGTTTCAGTTAGTATGGTATTCGAGACATGACGTAACATGTACGGACGTAATATACTACTCGTGAGGTTACTGAAAATTATTCGACAGCCCACGACCGATTCGCCCTTCCCTTCCTCAAGTAGGCTCAGTCCCCGAGTTTCCGTCAAGCTTATTTTTTACTTGAATCCAAATTGTACGAATTTGGCGGAATATACTCATTTGCAAGCAAATTTGGTTTTGCGGAAGACTCACCTGGAACCAAGATGAGTCTCTCGTTTTTGATGGCTTCAAGCAACTGATGAAATACAAGGAGGGCTTTCCAAGAATTTTCAGCAACCATATGCGTAGTGTATCACGTCTAGCACTATCGGAGCTTTGAAAAGACCGATGGAGCAATGTGTTCTGGAATAAGTAACAGAGTATAGGAATACCAACGTAGAGGACCCGTAGGAATGAGTAGGACCAGATTCTCATGTGCTACCTCGAAATCAGCTACGCCAAGGAAAAAATGAAAATCTCAAAATGGAGATCATAGGTGGAACATGGGAAGTCGGGTGGAGGTAGACAGATGTCTTGGGAGGAAGAAGAATGACATGCTACTGAATGTCTTGGATCCATTCATTAAAGAAATGGTGCAGGTAAACTTTCTTTCTCGTCTATTAAAAAGTGTTAAGACGGATCTGCCCGCTCAGCACATTAGGGCTCAAGGAATTGTACACAATGCACCAGTCGACCACTGCTCACCTATCTTTGGAGGCGCAGTGACAGACAGGCTTCTGGCTTCCAATAGGCCTTTTGCGGGGGCGTTTGACTGTAAGATTAGCATTGTGCGTGATGATCCCGCTGTACGCTCCGAGACGAACGACCAATATAATGTGGCACACCCAAGCTGAGTTAAAGAGGATGGGTTGTGGGAGCTCTGTAAGCGGAGCCCTTCGTGGGTAGTCCTGGATACGGGTGAAAAACTCAAGCAAGATTGGTTAAGATGAAGTGACACAACAGACCATTCAAGAACGCAGATGCTGATATACTAGATCCTCCGATCTCACTTCCTAGAGAGAAGATACTTTCCTAAGTGTGAGTGTCAAACCTACGATGAGTTTGTCAACAGCGTCCTGAACAGCCCCAGTGTCTCCTGTGACGGACACCCGGTTAAAGGTCAGAGGCGTTACAATTGATGCCGCGAAAGTGGTTAAGCAAAGGTCAGGCTCATACCTGGAAAGGGGTTGTGTCTCGGCCGACGGACACACTACGGTCGTTGAAGCGGGATGCACCCTCATTCCCGAAGGTTCCAAAGGGATGACAGTCATGGTGTGAAGTGTGTGCAGTTTCAACAAGTTGTATAGGCTGTGTTCAGTGGCTTAAGTTTTGGAAATAATAACACTTTTTGAGACTTGGCGTGAAGCATTTCTGAACGTGAGCACTCTGAATGTAGATAGTTTTTTTCTCTATGAGAGTTGATAGAAGCGATGGGAGGGTTGGCAATTTATGTCCGAGGGGAGAAGGTTTAAGAGGACCTGCATATTTTGTCAACAGTTTGAGTGATTTGTGGGTCGTAAAACTGCATATGAGCCCTATGGTGTACCCAGAAATTGATTATTTGACTACGCTTTTCCTCAGATCGGTTGTCGCCAGATACAGTCGCTCACGCAGAACGGGGTATTCCAGCGCTCCAAACTGATCAACAGACAAACTGAAGAGTTCCTACGATGGATGGCAACAACTGCCCGAAGGACCAGTTATTCGTTTTGACACAAGTGCAGAGGCTGTACGAGGTTAGGCGACAACAACACGCTATCTATACTTGGTCTTCTACTGACTCATCTTGAGAACCATTCAAAACGGCACACCATTCACTCGTTCATAGGAAAGAGTTACCTCGCTGTCACTCAACTCAAACTTCTATCGTTTTGGGAGATTTTTGGGCCCAGGACGTCAGACTGTAGAGAAAAGTGACTCCAGAGGACATAACTTCTGCTGCAGCCAGCCGTGATCGGATGATTCTTGACGGTGACCGTAACTTCTTTTACGAACGGCTGACACAGCATTATGGATTTCGCCAACCGACTTGCTCCACTTGTTGCTGTGATGAGGAACAAGAGAAACTCTTGGGCTTGGGTGCAAGTACCCCGAGCACTAAGGGCAAGAACAGCGTCTTGATAATCAATGGAGCTCATGGGTATAACTACCTAATTCAGAGGTTTTCCCGTATATGGGTAAATCAACAAACAAAAGGTTTCATCCTGCGTATGAAGCCAAGGGAGCATAAGGGTAAGCTACGAATGGCTCTGGAATTTATCTTCTAGTGAGCCACGTATGTTTTTTATGTAAAGTTATGGGGGGCTTTTCCACGTTTGTCAGTATGTAATGGAAAAAGGCGACAGACAGCACGGACATATCCCATGGTGTTGCCTCTAAATGAATCTCCTATATCTTCTTGACTCGACTGAAAAATGGATGGGGTCAGGAAGTCTGAGAACCTGCAAAAAGCACTCGAGTGGTTCAACCATCGATTGATGGTTGCGAACTTTGAATTAGTAGGTGTGATTAGATACTACTATGGATCAAGGAGTTCTGGTGAGAACGAAAATTTAGGTCTCTTGTGGGGTTGACTGCAGCTGATGTCTCCTTCTTACACGCACATACTCTTTGTTCTACCCACCCCAATGTGAATATCTCCGTGAGCCTCATCACTAGGACCGACCACTTTGTTCATCACGCATCACATTCATTGAAGGTTCTGTGCATCTGACTGCACTAACAACTTTAAACACCTCTAACTTTGTTTTCAAACCCCGAAAGCCGGTTTTCATAGCTGCCTTGAATGTTCCTATACTGAAGCAAGCGGCTGTCCGTCGAAAGATTTATTCCCTCTGCATCTTTGTGTGACATCCACCAGAAACAAGGAGGTAGAACGCAAGAACTGCAATTGCAACGAACGCCTCTTCGCTCTCCTGCTCCCGACTGCGCACCTCCGTTGATGTGGAGGCCATTGCAGCTAGATATGCCTGGGTGCATATTGTGTTGAACCATTGAACGGAGGCGCATCTACTTCTTTGGATACTCGTTGATATTTATCTCTACGCATTTGCTTCGGCAACCCTTGTAAGAACCTTGAGGGTTAGGTTTATCGCCTCCAACAGAATGTAGCTCCAACTCTGCCAAAGGCCGCGTTTGTGACGCTCTAGGTGCCATTTTACAACGAGCTCAAAGCCCAGACCTCATTGTGGTTGCTGGTTATATGAACGATCAGGTAAGTAAAATAAGCGCTACTGAGTCCCAATTGGGTGGTCGTCTTAGACACGAGGTGCACGGACAACGAAGAGTGCTTGCTTCAGGCATGTACCGATCACAAACTGTTCCTCTGAAATGACAGTGTTTGGAGCGGCAAAAATCGTTTCAGTACGCGGTGCCCGCCAACGAACCGACCGCAAGCATAAACAGGTTGTCTGCTCCTCCTTATGGAGTACGTGCATTGACTCTCACTACACACTTGTCTTCTGCTGCCTTTCGTTGTGCTTTTCTGGTCCACGCAAAACGCTCACATTTCCTGTAGCCATTGAGAATCTAATGGATCCGGAAATCAAACAAACCTATCAGACTCGTTTCCTCGAACGCCTACTGACTTTACCGATGCTGGATATCAACCGTCACTTGGGGCAAATATCCAAAGCTCTAGTGGAACCGCAGCTTCTCTCTGCATTACAACCCAGCAAATGCCATCCAAGCACTAGATCTCTGATATGACCGTGGCTTTGATCGAAGCCCGACAACGGACTCCTGGCTGCAACCACAGCTCATCCCGACGTATCATCCAAAATTGAGTGTCTATGCACACCGGGGAGCTTGGTGGACCCGAAGGGCCAAAGAAATGTAGGTAACGAGAATGCTGGAAACTTCCGCAGGTTGTTCCACTTGTTCGACCGGTCTTTGGGAACCTCTTGTTAGTGAAACCTTCAAGGACCAAAATGGGTATCTGATATCCATCGAAGGAAAACTTCTGGATCGTTGCACCAGACACTTCGAACAACAGTTCAGTTGACCATGGGCTACCTCCAGTACAGGCTGTCAGTATATACTAAAACCATGGACCGTGAATATGGAGCCCTTTCAGCCCCAGAAGTATCAGAATTTATATCCCTACACAAACGTCTTCACGCTTCTAGTCCCGAGGACCTCCCACCTGCTCTGCTCGAGGACAGAGGCGGGTTTCTCATATAGACCCTAGCTGGCCTATTTGCGTCTATCCGAGAGCAGAAGATCGTTTCGGATAACTTGGGTGAATCAATAATAGTGTCAATCTTAAAAGTGGTTACTTGCCGTGAGTGTGGTAAGTGCAGCGGCGTCAGTTTGAATCCACTTGTAACAAGACTTCTGGCGTCACTGGTTCCTCATTATCTTACAGCGGTGGCACGGGAATTTTAGACATGTGAACATCAAGCAAGGTATCAACTGGGTAGAAGCCGCGTGGACCACATATTCACACTCCGTCAGATGCTAGAGCATCGCTTATGTGCAGAAACCCCAACATCTTTGTGTTACTTGACTTCAAAAGTGCGTTTGACTCCGTCGATCGGTCAGTGCTATGAAGCACACTTGTTCCACTGGGGATTACCCCGAAGTTTAAATGTGAGTGTAGGGTCAACTTTCCAGATAAACTTTGTAGCTTTACGGCACTACTAATGTAACTGTCTCTGATGGTGATGATGATGATGATGTCTGCATCAAGCAGTCAGATTCCAGAAGCGATGGTCTCACTTTGCCCGACCTAAAGCTGACACCTTGTCGTGGTGGTCGAGCTTCTGTGTTGCAATGATCCTGCGGGCTATACTGGCTGGAACTTCGTTCCACAAGGTGCAACCATGCTACTAGATGGCGAGATGACTCAGTGGTTAGAGCGCGATTTCACTGACTCTAATCCTACCTCTGCTCCTCGACTTCCCCTGTCTAGGCTTGGGCATCCTGGCAGTATCCAAGCCCTCGTGCTTCCTTCGTAGCATGACAGCTAGGTACCGAAAGGGTACTACAGATGAATGAGACAGGTAGGCTACCACCTTTTCAGTGTGTAGATGCCAGCGGAAGGTGGCACGAGGGCTGGGGTACTTCCACGTTGCCCAAGCTTATAGAGCCGAAGTCGAGATGCTGAGGTTTTTCTCGAACCATGAACGTTCCGGTCCTTAAGTCACTGCCCTAACCACTGAGCTATTTCGACCCCCTGACAGATATAGTAAGCAACCGGTGAATCCCGTTTTCCGCCTTTCTCCTGGTTTACATCTATGAGCTTCAAATAGTATATGTATCCCGTGATGTCGTTAAGGCTAGTTTTTGTGTTATTCACGTTTAACCTCCATTCTCATATGCTTACAGCGCTCCGTTCCAGTTTGACCCCGCCAGGATACCCAGCACTACAATACTCCAAAATGTATGGCTCCAAGAGATTGGTTCCAAAGCTAGCCATTGACCGCCAACAAGTCCAGTCCTCGAACAACCAGAATATCAGCTGTCCAAAATCTTGCCTAATCTTTAGGGAACAGGTAAATTCCCACCTTTATTCTATTGGAATTCGCAGCACAGTGCATCCAGCTCCATGCTGACTGTCGAGTCATTCGGTAGGTTGTTACGAAAAACGTCACGTTTTTCTCTCTCTCCAGAACCCGAAAAAAGAGCGCATTACTACTTCTTCAAGCATCACACTTGTTACGACCTTCTCCCAGGGAGCGCAAAACTTATCCTGTTGGATTCCGAATTAAGTGTAAACATCTATTTCGAACATATAAGTTTTTTTCCAGATAAAAAAAGCATTCTATGCACTTATCTACAATAATGTACGCGCTGCGATCCTTTGGAGCAGTTCACATCAAGCATTCGTTGGGATGCTCACGGTCACTGACTTTATCAATGTTTTGGTAAAAACATACAACGCAGAGCAGTACAAGATGGAAGACTTTGAACGTGCTTCGATTTTGGAATGGCGCTGTAAGTTGCAACATTGAGTCCAGTTATAAAGAGGCTAATTTTGTACCTCACTTTTTTCAAATTCCCGGAAATGTCTATTCTTCACAGAAAAGCGTTCAGCTGTAGCACCCTTCCGGTGCCTAGCTGCCATGCCACCCGAAGGTTGCACGAGGGCTGGGATACTGCCAGGTTGCCCAAGCCTAGACAGGGGAAGTCGAGAGGCTGAGGTCGGATTCGAACCACGGACCTTCCGGTCAGTAAATTCGCGCTCCAACCACTTAGGCCATCTCGCCCCACATGTATCAGAGGTTGGAAAAAGCTGCACTGGCCCTACCAAAACGATCACAGACTAGAAGTGAGTCGTTTAGAAGAAGCCTTGCGCCGCTAAGGACTCCCGCCAAAGTCTGTTCAAAATCGTCGAGTAACTTATCACGTCATGTTACTGCTCCACATCTCGCTAGATAGACCAAGTGGTTAGAACGCGAATTTAGTGATCCGAAAGTCCGTGGTTCGAACCCGGCCACTGCCTCTCGACTCCTACTGTCTAGGCTTGGGCAGCCTGGCAGTATCCCAGCCATCGTGCTTCCTTCGTGCGGGATGGCAGCTAAGCACCGAAAGGGTGCTACAGCTGAACGATTCGATTTTTGACTGCTCCCCAAGTTGTCGAAGCATCTTCTTCGCAAACTGGGCTTGTAGATATCCGGAAAATAGCTTTCGAGGGCTTTAAACAGTTACTATGGTCAACCTTATTTTGAGTCTGAAGTTTGCGCTTCCGGGCTGGGCTGACACTCACGTTATCTGGCCTGTCAAGCTTACGAATCTCCGCCTTAAAATATGGTATCTTGTAGACTAGACTATTGAGCAGGAAATTCTAACTAGGGCATTCCAAGGAGCCTTCTCCGGTTACCTGGGACACCATGAAGTGATTGGTTCGCGTACCACAAGGGAGTTACTATCCCAACACACTACTCATAAGCTTGCTGAGAATTCTTCGACAGCCCACGACCGGTTTCGCCCTCCTTGGGGCTCATCAGGTAGGCGCAGTCCCCTAGTTCCGTCAAACTTGAACCCAAATTGCACGAAATTAGCGAAATACTTTCATTTGCAAACCAACTAGAAATATCATAAACGAGGGATTCAGCCGGGTCCCAGGTGAGTTTCCCACAAAACCAAATTGGTTTGTGCAGCGATTACAAACTGTCGAATAATTCAATTCATCCGTACCACTGGACTCTCATTCAGTTAAGTAGTCACAGAGGCGTACAACTTTACGTTCGGTTGTCTGCTTCGGTGGGCGGAACACTTTGACCGGGCGGTTAATCTAATTTGGAGTTCCCAGTATAATGATCATCGCAACACCAACTTCACAGTGTGATCGGAACCACTCGATTCTTACAGAAACAAAACAGGACTTTTGAGCACAAATAGCACTTCTCGCCATGATCGTTTGCTTCTACTTAAGAAGTGGCGGTGAAGATAATCCTCACAGTGCGGCATAACAGCACAGCTGAAAGATTAAAGCAATGACAGATGCCTTCTGTTGTTCATTTCTTCAGAAAGATGTTAGATCTGAATATGGCGATCATCATTCTGGGCCTGATCACTTCTAATTTTTTAACCATCACCCGTGAGAAGCACAAGGGCAAAAAGGAAACAGGGAGCTCTCCGTGCCGTTGATGCGTTGACGGCATCTTCACTTTGTGACGCTCGTCACACACATGGGGCCAACAATTAGGTTTCTAAGCAATGCCCAAATCAGTTGATTGCACTGCTTTGCGGTGATGACCCCAAATTCACAGGTGTCCCGAAACTCAATCCTTGCAGTGCAACTGTTCTACCCCCTAAAAGTCCATCACCAAAAGTATGTCTCGCTAGGACTGCCGTTTATCACCCTTACTTTTCAACCTCGTAGTCAAGTTAGTTATCTGTAAAATTTGCGCGATTTTTCTACCCTTAATGCGAAAGTTCTTCCCTGGAAGAATCTTAAAATCGCGAGTGCATCGCGCTGCTTGGTTGACATTCGATCTGGATGCGTAATAGATAAAGTGAGCCAGATAGTGTTGCCACGCCGTATTTTGAGTGTGCGTTGTACCTTGGAAGCGAAAGCTCATATTGCATAACCTTGTGGTTGCACTAACACGTCTGTTAGTTGCGCCAGGACCACTATCTCCTGGATTTTAGAAAGTATGATATAATGACAATATTACTCCATCCATCGGCTTCTCGGTTTGAGATTGGCTTCTCTAGCTGCCTCCCTTTTAGAATAGCGCGAAGGTCTCAGCTGTAGCACCCTTTCGGTGCCTTACTGCCATGCCACCCGAAGGTTGCACGAGGGCTGGGATACTGCCAGATCGCCCAAGCCTAGACAGGGGAAGTCGAGTGGCAGAGGTCGGGTTCGAACCACAGACCTTCCGGTCAGTAATTTCGCACTCCAACCACTTGGGCCATCTCGCGCGAAGGTCTACTAAGCTAATGACATGGAAACGACACTCTCTTCGCCTGAGTTCCGCGTGCTGCACTGATGGAGCAGCGATCCCACAAACTTGTTGAAAATTCATCAACCAACCGTCAATCGTCAATTCTTTGTGTTCCGGCTGGTCAGCTCGTTACCTCTGTTGTTTGTTCCAGCATACCTATTCTCATGGGTTCTAAATTCAGTTAGCCATCTCTGCTCCGTCAAAATCCGAACGGTAATGTATGCAATTTCTGGTTATCCTACGTTACATCACTAGGATGCTTCTGGAAACCGGGCACGATTAGCCAGGACGCCGTTAGCCAACCATCAACTGAAATTTCACTACAATTCCTGGCTGGTCACCAGCTAACGCTGGTGTTCTGTTTGATCTGCCTTTTCTACATAACTGGTTTGTATGTCTGCCTGTTTATGGCACGTGATTTGAACGCCTCGACATTCACATCACATGATACATCATGTGGTACGTTAGCGCATGCTGTGTAGCCCTGGATTCTGAAAAGCTCGTTGAACATGATTATTTCAGCACCAAACTCCCAAAGTACATCGAAGGTGTTGTGCACCAACCCAGACATTGATTTATTCGAAATGCTTTGATACACAACAGCCCGACTGCACCAGGAAGACTACGGTCTGAGTCGCGTTAGGGGCAGACTGATCACCAGACCTGGCTTTATGCAACTGATTACTTAGTCAGTAGCTCAAGCCTCGTGCTCTGGAGTTTCTCCAGCCCTGGGTTAGATCATCCACGTCAAGTTAAGTAGAGCTGAGTATAGCTTGACAGATTGGTCTCTCGTTCGGTGCATCTTCGAACCAGTGTGCAGCTCACATGGAAAGCTCTGGTGAACCACTCGGGCAAGTATCCTCTCCCAAAGTGGGCTATCGTGGCATGATCAACATAAACAATTAAACACGATGACATCTGGATGGAGACGATCTTCTGTATTACGAAGACCTGGAGAAATGGACAGAACCGTCACTTGACATAATGTCAATCTCTCTTTCTGGAATCTGAAGTCGCGTGCTTCGACCGTGCCGCGTTTTTGTTTTCTCTTTTGGGGAATTCGCGTACACTTTTGGACGCTATCATCTAAGCAGGTGTGACCTCTTAAGGTTGGAAGCCACTGGACCTCTCCCCTTCCAAAGGCAGGTACTCTTGGGGA